GTTTTGGTTGTCAGCAGCAAAACTGGTTGATCCACTCTGAGAAGGTGCTATTTAAGAGACTGAGCTGAAAACAGCACCTCAGACTGAGGAAGTCTCTTGGATGAGAGACGAAACGTTTCTACATTGTTTTGTTGATTTGCTTTGTTTTTTTTGAATGTCCAGAGGACCAGATTTAACTTTTTTAGATTTTTCTATCACCGTTTTACAACAGCAGCTTGGCAGAATTTCTAAAATTCTTTTCTGGATCTTGGTGTTGGTGCCACCCCAGGATTTTCAGTGCCCCCCCTAAAGCATTTCTGGTGGTGCCACTGGTTGAGTCCCTGTAGGCTTTGTGTTTTACAACGCCCTTGTCAGAGAGGTTACGGTAGTGTTGTAGTACTCGAGACCGGTCTTGGTCTTAAGACCGGTCTCAAGACCTCATTTTGATGGTCTTATTCTCGTCTCGACTACATTTGGTCTCGGTCTTGTCTTGGACATTGAGAACTCTGGATTTTATTTCAAGACCAGAACTGTGGAAATATCACAAAATTTCCAGAATATCGTCCAGTTTAATTTGTTAACTTGTTTTTATTGGATGCAAAATGCACTGGTTCAAATCCAAGCGATAACGTGACTCATTACTAAATACTTTTTTTTTTTTACCACGGTCATGCCCACCCCTTTCACTCTCACGTCACTCCCAGTGTGGCCAGATTGGGCAATTTACTGCCAATTGGATGGTTTTCGTTCTGATTTTGCTGGGAACTCTGGGAACATTTTTGTTGGATTGTTGCATTTTGCCACATATTGTTAAATTATCTTGGCTTGTACTGATGTGCTTTCATGTTCAAACAGTAAATATACTGTAACAATATATTGATTGGGTAGATTTTTGTCTGATATGGCAGTTTTTAACATATTTTTGGGCTGGAAAACCTCGACTCTATCTGGCAACACTGGAAAATGAGAAGTGATTGGGCGCGGGAGACGATGTCTGCCGTATCAGTTATAAAATGTGCCTATTTAAATCACAAAGAATATACTTGTAACTAATGCTAAAACTAATATGGTTATCCTTGGTCTTGAGTTCAGACTTATGAAGAGCGTGTTGCCACGTCAGTTTTTTAAGGCTTGGCATGCGATGAAACTGCTTCCAGTTTAACAGTTGTGTAATTTTATTGTTGAATCACATGAAGTTAGGCCACTGAATGTTTGACTTCTTTGTTATGTAGCTTTAAAAATGTATAAAAGCTGATATATTCATTCAAAAGCAAACTTAAAGTTGCAGTATGTAACTTTGACAAAAAAAAATTTATAATAAAATTTTATATTTTATTTGAGGTCTTGGTCTGGACTTGGTCTCAGACCCTAAAAGTCTTGGTCTTGTCTCGCTACACTCTGATCTTGACTTGGTCTCAGATTAGGTGGTCTTGAACACAACACTAGGTTACGGATTATAGTGTAATCCTTGCAGGCAGTTCTGGGCCTGTCCGGGGTTCTCCTCCTGGTGGGAGGTGCCCGGATAAGCCTCGGCATCTTAATCAGACCTCGAACCACCTCAGCTGACTCCTATTGACGAGGAGGAGCAGCGGATCTGAGCTCCGACTGAAAGAACAAGGAACCCTGATCACGGATCTCTGGTTCTGTTCGGTTTCCTCAGTTGAAGAAAGTCGGGTCACTTGTTCAGATCTTCAGTTGGGTGGTGGTGGTGGTGGTGGTGGTGGGTGTAGAGACGAGCAGCATGTTGAGAGTGGAAAAAGTTCTTTGACCTTTTTGTTGTTGTTTTTGCTGACGTTCTGTCACAGTGAAGCCCAGGAGATGTTTTTCTGACAAAGGCAACGATCCGACCCGCTGACGCCCAGAAAGTCTGGGCTCAGATCAGGAGGGAATTTCTTGACAGGAAACAGTGTCCAGCTCGTCTGACAGAATCCAGACTGTCAGCTCCTCACAGCTCGGGTTCAGGAGGGAACAGCTCCTCTCCTGAAACTAGATCACAAAGATTCCCTGGATTAAAAGCCGATCGTGGATCCTTAAGGTTCTGACAGTGGGATTATTATTATTATTTTGTATGATCTGTATTAATAGTTGTGATAACCTCTAAAATATTGGTTTATATTTTCTGAAATAAGAGAAGTATTTAGATAATCCTCCTAAATAATGACTGAATTCTCCAGATACTTCATCGTAAAAGAAATTTGACCCCAGATTAGGATTTTTTTTTTCAAATCACTAATATTTTGACTCATGTAGTACAAATCACTAAAACATTTGTCAAGTTTGTCGCTACCACTCACATCTGCAATAATAAATTTGAAAAAAACAGCAGGTGCAGCTGGATGCCATTAAACCTCCTGCTGCCCTCGGGTCAAAACGACCCACAGGGCCTCAGTACTGAGACTGCTGGAGTTTATAGATTTAGTAAAAGAACAAGTTCCATCATTTTCAATCATGCAGGAAAAATAATCCATATAATCATCTTAACGTTGTGCAACAACCAACTTTCTCTGTTCAGAACAAAAATCTTTGTAGGAGCACAAACAATAAAACTTTAGGAAAAAGAAACGATCCAAACATTCATTTTTTTCACACAATTTCACCCACAACACTGGCACAGCTAAAGTGAAACAGGAAGTGACGTCACGGGGGACTCCCTGGCCTTTTGTTTATTTGAACTCTGACTCTTCGTCTCTTCAACTCAAAATCTAAAGAAATCTCAGATTCTTTACGGTCCGTGTCGTCAGCCATTGCTGCAAAGCTCTGCTCGCATGCAGATGTTCCCAGATGACATCATTTCCTGTTACTGTGCACGCAAATATCTCTGTTCATCAGTGTGAATTTTGGTTTGCAATACGTTCTTAATCTCTTTCTAAAAATGCGTTCATAGTTTTTATGAAAGTTGGACGTCACGGGAACTCGAACGTTTGATTCATCGAACTGGGACATAAACCGCTCTTATTGTGAAACTCAGCAGAGCGCCATAAGCTGCTCTTATTGTGAAACTCAGCAGAGCGCTGTGTTTGAAAATACGTTCTGGTGAAACCGCTGCTGAGTGACAAACAGCCGAGGGTGTAAAAACAGCTCCAGTGTACGCAGGGCTTAATTTGTAAACGGATCGATGCCGCAACGCAAATAGCAGGCAGAGGGATGGGGGGGTCTGGAGGCTCTCCCCCTGAAAACTTTGGATACAATTTCCTGCATTTTGTTGTATTTAACAGGTTGTTAAACATCTATGTTTAGCTACATTTGTAAACATTCTGCTTCTGTCAAGCTTCCTACACCCCACCCCCACTTTACTTGACTGTTCCGAACCAGACACTGTCCCTGCTTGTTGTTGTCCCGACGCCACACGTGAAACCTCCAGGCACATGCTTGCGGGCTCCTACTTGAGTACGACTGCCTGGTTAGCTCGGCACTCACCCTCACCACTCTTTTAGGGGTGGAGATTTTTTTTAAGAGTAGACGTGGAAATGTTACTTGAAGAGGCAGCTCATACGCACGCAAGTGGCTGTTGTGTTTAAAACTAGTGTTTATGTAATTGTTTTCAGTTTACATATCCAATATAAGTTTTATTCATTCAAGGCACGGTAGTCATATTTGTTCATACCTTTATTATTAGAAATCCTGATAGTTACCGGATCCAAGCAAACAGTTACCGGAACACACCCGGACAAAATAAAGAGAGTTCCCGGATCCTGTTCCAGGTTGATCCGGCTCAAATTAAGCACCGAGCGTACGTTACCGTAAAATCCCACCCGAGCCGGGACTCGTTTTGACACTTTCAGGTTCTCGTTTGCGGCGTCTGGATTCATTTTATCGCCAACGAACGAAACTCGTAGACAGAATCACAACAAACACTTTTATTACCACGAACACAAGAACAGAAACATTTCCAACAATGGCACAGACTGACACCTCCTAAACTAATTTACTGCATCAGAAAACAGATCTTCACTGCGGCTCTTTGTCCTCCAGACTCAGGATGAAGTCGAATTCTTCTGCACAAACAAACAAACAAATGATGAACATATCATGCGCCACCTTTCATGCAGGAGTTTTAAGCTCAGGTCTCATGCTGAGAAATGACGGAGCTGTAGCCGTTTTTACCGTGTAAAACGATGTTTTGAGTATTTGTTGACGCTCGGCTATTACCACAACGAGTTTTAGCGCAGCCTCTGCAAAACTAGCCGAGTTTTGGCTGTTTTTATGCACATCTGTGGCGAAACGTTTTATTTTGTCTACACACCGGAGGTGAGGGGCTGAACGGAGAGCCTGGCTCGGGTAAACAAAGCGGCACCCCTTAACGGCCCTCCGTCGCGGCGGTGCTGCAGGTGGAGCTTCTTCAGCTCTGACAGAGGAAGGAAGCGCTTCATCATTCTGTGGAACTTCACGTCAACCTGAGAGGAGAGCACGAGGTCAGAGTGGGACCGTGGTCCTGGACAAACGGAGCGGGTCTTTAGTCTACCATGCTCCACTTGGGGTTGTCCTCCCTGCTGCTGGCGTCGAAGTGGACGTCCTTCCTGTCGAACTGGGTGTGGTCCACGTAAGCCTCCTTCACGATCTGGTCAGAAACAAGCAGCTGAAGCTGGGCCTGAGGTGTATTTCATCGAGAGGAGAGGAACTCACGGTCATGATCCCTGCGATCCCCGGTTCTTTGCAGTTGCTGTGGTAGAAGAACGCCGGCTGCCCCGCCTTCATCTGCCGAAGGAAATTACGAGCCTGCCAACAAACGAGAACGTTGACCTTGATGATGCGTTTGTTTTTTATTTCTTGTAAACTTTATGCTTTCATGTGGACCTGATAGTTGCGGACTCCGTCCCAGCAGCCCGTCTGGTCAGGTAGAACCTTCAGGTCCTCGATGCCGAACTGCAGACGGAAATGAGACGCTCAGACGGCAGCCGTCAGTTTGACATCAGCTGAAGAAGCTGCTCCGTACCTTCACATCAACACCGTTCTCAAGGCGGCTCTCGGGCTCGGACTTCATCAACCAGTGGCTGTACATCAGAGGACCAGACGACTCAGAACCATCAGAACCTGCTACTTTCCTCTTCTTTCGGTCCAACTCGTTGTTTTGACCTGCAATGATTCAGCGCTCGTCAGGAAACGCGATCAGACGTTAGTTTTACTCTGAAGTTTGAGCTGCTCACCTGAACCCTCGGCTCCTTTTTTCACTCCAGACCTTTTCTTTGGAGGCATCTTTCACAACCTGTAGAGATCCAGAACAACAACAACAACATGTCATACGACCGAGTGCTGAGTCAGCATTCAGGTACGATCGAGTGCTGAGTCAGCATTCAGGTAGATCGAATGCTGAGTCAGCATTCAGGTACGATCGAGTGCTGAGTCAGCATTCAGGTACGACCGAGTGCTGAGTCAGCAT